TCCAGCCATCTCATTCTCTGTCGTCCCCTTCTTCTATTGCCCTCAATCTTTCCCAGCATTAGGCCCTTCTCCAGTGAGTCCTTCCTTCTCATTAGGTGGCCAAAGTATTTGAGTTTCAACTTCAGGATCTGGCCTTCTAAAGAGCAGTCGGGGTTGATCTCTTCTAGGACTGACCGGTTTGAACGCCTTGCAGTCCAAGGGACTCGCAGGAGTCTTCTTCAGCACCATAGTTCAAAGGCCTTATTATTGTCTTACTTTATGGCATTTTCTGCCACATATTAATTTAAGTCATCATTACAATCATCTCTGTTAATAGAATCAGAAGGAAAACAATGCCTTCTTCTTCCCAGGAAGTGCTGTGGCATTTAATGCATGTTCCAGAACAAATTTAGTCATATAGAGGCTGCAGGACAGGTAGAAATTGTTTTTCCTTGGGTCATTTCTTCTGACTTACTTAGTATCTTTACATTTTTAACAAGCATAAAATTAATCTTTGTATGTTAAGGTTGGCTTTTCTGAGAATATTTGAATTCATTTGGGAATTTTTGATAGATGTTTTAGTGTTCCTGAGCTACAGGAGAAAATGTGCTTCAGCATCATTCATATACCGTTTTCCTGAAAATAAGACCTGATCTTATTTTATTTTTTTTGCCTCCAAAAGAGGCATTAGGTCTTATTTTCTAGAAGTATCTTTTCTACCCACCTCTGGCACCGACAGCCCTGCCCAGCCTAGCTGGCCCACTCCTGTGGTTCTCAGCTGCAGAGGCCTTCCGGAAAGGCCTCTGACTATGAGATGCAGGCCAGAGCTCCATTCTCAGCTGCAGAATGAAGCTGCTCCTTCGGCCGCACAAGAAGTGGGCCGGCAAGGCAAGTGTCTGTCCATGGGAGGCCTGGCTGCAGTGGTAAGTTCCAACTCCCACCCTAGCTTTATTTTTAGGTGTGGACTTCACCCCAAAACTAAGGCTTATTTTTTAGGGCTTATATTAGGCCAAAAAAAATCAAGCTAGGACTTATTTTCGGGATAGGTCTTACTTTCGGGAAAACATGATAGTAGTACTTGCCAGCATCTTCTTAAAACTGCATTTTCTTTGGGTTGTGTGATTGCCCTTTGCAGCTGCAAGAGAATCCTGGATAAAGCATGTTTAGGTGTTGCTGACAGGTACAATGCACTCCACACATGCTCCAAAGCACCTTTTTCACTTTGAACCCTATTTTTTAAAACTGACTTTAGATTTATGCAATACTTGATTACAAAGTTCCAGTTCTATACATGATTAGCCAAAAAGTGAATTTATTGGGGAAAGCTTTACATAAAACTCCTCCAGTTTAGAACCTTCTCTGTTTGAATCCACTGAACAAAAATAGTACTTTAAGATCACCATATATGAACAAGATTAGTACTGTACTTTGAAGTTCATATTCATTAGCTGTATTTAAAAGAATGTGAAATGTTGGGTCGTGACAAACATAATAGTTGTATCTAGTACATACATGTTCTTGAGACAGGTAATTCAAAAATTGTTTTTCTCTATTGTAGGAAGATATGGCTACTCATGTTGGAGCATCACGAACTCCTCAAGAAGTTATGGAGCACTATGTGAGCATGTATATACATGGAAATCTTGGAAAAGCCTGCATTCCTGACATTATTCCTAATAGAGTGACTGATCATACATGCCCAAGTGGTGGTCCACTTTCTCCTAGCCTTACCATGCCTCTGCCACCTTTAGATATATCAGTGGCTGAACAACAACAGCTTGGATACATGCCACTTCGAGATGATTATGAGATTGAGTATGATCAAAATGCTGAGACTCTAATTAGTGGCCTTTCAGTTAATTATGATGATGATGATGTAGAAATAGAATTAAAAAGAGCTCATGTGGATATGTATGTAAGAAAACTGAAAGAGAGGCAGCGGCGAAAGAACATTGCTCGTGACTACAACTTGGTTCCTGCATTTTTGGGCAAGGATAGGAGAGATAAAGAAAAACCTTCAAAACGCAAAACTACAAAAGAAGAAAAGGAACTGAGGTTAAAACTGAGGTCTCTTTACCAGTTTATGTCTTGTAAAGAATTTGATGATTTCTTTGAAAATCTGCACAAGGAAAAGGTTCTTCGAACAAAAATAAGAGAACTCCAACGTTATCGCCGAAATGGCATAACAAAAATGGAAGAATCTGCAGAATATGAAGCAGCCAGACATAAACGAGAGAAAAGGAAAGAAAATAAAAATATTGGTACTTCTAAAAGAGGAAAGGAGGAAGGTAAAGACGGAGAATTCTCTGCAATTGAAAATCTTCCTGGCTTTGAACTCTTATCTGACCGAGAAAAAGTACTTTGTAACTCTATTAATCTGAGTCCAGCACGCTATGTGACTGTTAAAACTATAATTATTAAAGATCATCTCCAAAAAAGGCAAGGCATTCCCTCAAAAAGTCGCCTTCCTAGTTACTTGGATAAGATACTTAAAAAAAGGATTTTGAATTTTTTGACAGAAAGTGGTTGGATATCCAGGGATGCTTCTTAAATCTTGACTACTTTGAAATAGTATCAGTATCAACAGAGGAACCAACATTCGCCATTGATCTAGTTACCAGTTTTTTTAAAACATCCAGGATCTTGTAAAAAACTCACTCCTTAACAACTGGATTTTTCTGTAATGGATCATGTACATGTCAGATCTTATTTTATGAACCACTTTACATGTTACCTTAAAACAACACACTGGGTGAAATGATTCATTTTACCAGTGTTATCAGAAGTGAGATGTGAAACTCTGACAATACTTGCTGAACTCTACCTCTGCTGCAAAAACTTGTATTTTAGACATGATACTGGGTTAAGGTTGCTATTCTTCACACATTTACTTGGAAGTATACCCCACTACATTGAATAGTATTTATTGTCAAGTAAGACCATCAGATCAGGCTGCTTATGTGTCCTACTAAATCCTGAATAATGAACTTAGACACAAATTACTATTTCATATTGGAAATGTATACTACAAGTTTGTTACATTTTTTTCACAAACCAAGGCATTCTGCTACATTGCCACTAGAGCAGAGTAAAACATGAGTAACATAAAATGGTTTAACACAGCACACCACATGATGAAAATGAGTAGACGAGCTCCACAATCTAGCTTGCATAGAATCATTGAAAATGATTTTCAGCAAATAACAGGCATTCTGATTGTAAAACATGGGGGGGGGGGGTAAAACTGCTTTAATATATGTACTAATGTTCCACTTCTATAGAATTTGAAAAATGAAAGGATTTTTTTGTGGTTTTATTTAAATATAAGTATCAACTGAGAAAATGGGAATAAGAGTTTATGAAAACTGGTATATACTGACAGAAGATTCTTAAAAACTCTCCTTGTGACTTATCAACCTATGCTGTTCTTCAGGTTTGCATTTGTTAAATACAAATACAACACTTGTTTAAACACTCTTTTTTATATAAATATTTTATTAATTTCAAGTTTTACAATCATAAGTACATAATAAACAACTTGGTGTCTGGGTTCCTTTATCTTTCAGTGGTACATATTAACTTTCACTCAAAATATCCAATACTACACCATCCAGTATTTCCCTGGTCCTCTCTTCTTCCAATAATAATAATTTTTCCACACTATGCAAATATAATTCTTACTGCTATTAATACCTATACAATTAAATATAAACATCTTCATAACATGTTTCTAATGTTATGCATAGTGTCAATAGCAGTTTATAATATCTTCTCTAGCCAAAACATATCTCAAATGTATTTGCAATCAAAGTTCCCTTATTCAATCAGTATCGTTTTTTTTTTCAATTTTAATGTCCCATCAATATTCAAAATAACTATCAATTATCATTTTTCTCATAATTACATTTCGGTAACTAAAAGCTTTCCTTACACCGACGCTCTTAGTATTTTCATATTTCCCATTTTTTAGAAAATTATCCTAGTTACAAATCACATCCTTCTAATTTATAATGATCCTTTTATTTCTAACAATTGTCTATTTTAATCATATTCAAACATCCATTAGATCAGGGCTTTTCAATCTTTTCACCCATTGTACCACTTTTAGGATATGGCAATATCCGAGTACCACCAGTCGCCTAGCAAGGTGTCAAAAACTTGATGACCCCCCCAAAAAGGAAAAAATATAAAGTACAGATAGTCCTCGACTTACAACAGCTCGCTTAGTGACTGTTCGAAGTTACAATGGCACTGAAAGAAGTGCCCCCCCCAAGGCACAGCCAAGCAAGACACCTGTCTGCCTGCCCAGGGTGCTCTCATTTCCCTCCCCTGCTACCACTGTTCTAGGATGCTCGCATACCACCTGCCAGGTGCCAATGTACCACAGGTGGTACCCATACCACTGGTTGAAAAGCCCTGCATTAGATGATATAATACCTCATCTAATTAGTCAGGACCTCTATTTTTTTCAGTCTTATTCTAGCTTTCTTCCTTTGCAAGACAGTGCATTTAGGTCACCAAGTATTTCTTCCTATTTCTGTACATATTATTTGAAATAAAAAAGGCAATTTAGTGTTTTTGTAAAAACGCTTAATCCATTTATATTAGTTAAATAGCCTCCATGTTCTTCTGCAGTTTCGCTTTTAGTTTCTTGTTTCCCAGTTTTCACCATTTCTCCTAACAGCTTTCTCATCCATTCTATCAATTCTTCCTATCCTCAAATATGTTCTGAAGTCTTGAAAAGTAAAATGTCTTTCCCATTTCCAGTGTTATATCTGGATCTTTGAAATTTTTATCTGTACCTGTCTGTTGGTTTCTTCTTTCGAATCCTGTCTTTATATCAGTTTCCTATATTTTTTCTTTTGGTATCTAAGTTGCTAGTTCATTCTGTATGGTCGTTTACTGAATGTTTTTTGCTTGCAAGTTTAAGTTGGAGAGTTGCTCATTTATGTGATTTAAATTATTTTTAGTCTCATAATTTAAAACAATTGCCTCTTGAATTGATTTCAATATGGAAATAATTTTTTTCTGAAGTCCATTTACATTTTCTTGTTGATTATCCATGTTTCTTCCAAAGAGAAATAGTCCCGAAGCAACTTTCTCACTGTTTCTTAATATTTCTTGATAATTCTTGAAACTAAAAGTCAATATTTGTAATCCAGGCCAGCCAATTCAGAACGGTTTATTGTCTCCTTCATACAGATAAAACAGCATGATGATTTTTTCCCCCTTTTCCCATCTGCAGTCTGCAAAAATGAAAGTTTCCAGGAACAACAAAGCCTTATCTATGTCCAGGCTTTGTACCAAATTTTCTTTAAGCATAATAAATTGTAATGCCAAAGTTCACCACTAGATGTTAACATCCATCTTCCAACTTTTAAGTCCAAACTTATTTCACCAACTTTCCAAATAACTTTTCCAAAAAGAAAGTCTTAAAAATACTTTTAGTCCCCAAATTTGTCAGTTATGTCTCTATATTAAATCCAAATTAATCTTGTGGTTTTCTCTAATTTTCCCCCAAAGAAAGCTATTGGCCGCTTCTCTTTTTCTGAGAGAAAAAGGTGGGGGAATCCCCTTCTCTCTATCATCTGGGGGTATTCTTTACTTTGGGAATTTTTTTCCAGGAAGTTTTAAAATTATACAGGATTACGTTCTCACCCAGTTCCATCTGTATTGTTCAAAGGTTGCTAATTAGTGCTTATTTTGGGTTGTTGGCCAGTCTTCTGCTGGTTTGAAGAGCTTCTTCGGATCAAACAGAAGGGCTGCCACCACTCTGCGGTCGATGAGGGTCCCCTTCGTCGCCTCTCTGGGGCGACTTTAAACCCTTTTTAGAGTCCCCAGCAGAGCGAAATCAGATGTGGAAAACAGACCCCGTTTTCCTGCGCCTGTAACGCCATGACATCTAACCGGAAGTCTTGTTTAAACACACTTTCCATCTTGGGCAAGAATCCCAAAATAAAAAACGTACATATTACCAAGCTACACATGAATATAACAGGTGATCACAGTGTGATTAGTGTACGATGCTGTGTGCTTCAAGATGTTTTAGCAATGTAGCAGTTGACAAAAGGCATTGGCAGTTGTCCTGAAATGATTGTATTTCCTTTCCTGCTACTTTTTTCAACATTAACTGCAAGTTTTTTTTACTTTCTTAGTGGTTTTATGATACCCGTGCTTCCCATATTACCCCACAAACTACTTAAAAAGGAAAGAGACACTTTTTTATATTGGTGGGTACGAACAATCTGTTATACATAGGCAAGATTCTGATAAACTATCCATTACTAAAACCGTACTTCTGGTCTACTCACTTTGCTGGATAATGAGTCTTGATAGCTTTTTGTTAAGCTTATTCCTAAACGTCTTTTGAATACATAATTTACTACATGTGCAGCAGAATAACTCATTTGTCAGTTAATTACTAGTAAATGTGCTTTGAGATACATTAAAATTTCTTGTATTCTCAATCTTAGAAATCAGAATCACTATACAGTTGCATGGAAAAGTTCAGAATAAATTGTATGCATCTGTGAATCTCTAAATGAACAGAAGCCAACAAAACAATTATGTTGTACAATTTAAACACAGCATCTTTCTGCAAATCTGAATACACACTATGCATATGCAGTTTTTTTTTTAAAGTGAATATGGCAGATGCATAACTGAGTATCCTTTCCGATAGAATTTCAAGCACCTTTGCTAGAAGTAACAGCTTCTAGGATTACTTTTTTCCTCACTCTTCTTGCATAAGTCTTTAAACTTAGAAATATTCTTAGGTCCATCTGTATGCAAATGTTTATTTCAAGTATGAGAACAATGGCCATTCCAAAACCATTGATTTTGTTTTCCTACAAGGACTTCATGGTTAATTTGGGTGTATGTTTAGGACAGTTCTGCATCTGAACAGATCTGACATCTGAAAGTGTCCCAACATTATGCATAGAAAGTGCATTCAAAATTCAACTTCTGTTCACTATTTCATTGCAATATATAATTTGATTAGGCATGCATAAACTTTTGCATGCAACTGTACATATTGCATATCAGTAATTTCTACTTAAGTGATGAAAGTTTTTCTGCTAACATGCCAATTTAGTATATATTCAGGAGAAGGATAATATTAAAATATACTTGCAGTCGATAATGATAGATCTATATCATTCTGCAAACCGTACGTATCTGTCACAAATAGCTTATCGTACACATGGGGGCTGGCAACATAATGCATGCACGCACAATTTAATCTAAAAAAATAACAATTTTTTTCCAATAGTAAGGAGATATGACAAAACAATATAGCTAAATATTTTTAACATTAAAGATCATATGTTGTCATTTTCTGGTGCTTGCATTTTATGATGGAATTCAATAGCTAGGGAAAATTGCATACACCAGTGAATACAAGTCACCAATTACAGTCCTATTTAACACTTTCTTACTAATAAAGTAACAGAAGTACAAATACCACTGTTCCTGAAGCAGTACCTTTTTTCAGCCTGATGAAACCTCATTTTGTGCGACTTTTATCACGGGATCTCTCATTGAGTTAGATGAATATATCAAATATATCAATTTACAATATATGACCTTTACTACTTTGCCCCAAAAGGGCACAATCAAGACAAAAAGTCATTGTCAAAATTAAATGCAAGACACTACAGTTAAAAATTATTGATCCCCCTCTGCATATACTAATTACTTCTTACATACAGACCATTCATACAAAGAGATGTCCGTGACACCATTTCCCACCCTTTAGGAAAAATAGAAAAGAGATGGTAACTTCATTGGGAAGAAAACTGAGGAACAAGATTGCAATGAGACGACACAAAGAAAAGACAAAGAAGGAAAGAAAAGACAAGCTGCTGGGCTCTTACAGGAAGACTGAAATCAAATAGGAAAGCTGACCCACTTGAGCAGGAGTCAATTTTCAAAGGCATTCATATATAACTGCATGTCATAGTCATCTATACCTCCTGTTCATTTTGCTCATTTCCAATAATGTCTTCTATCCTTAGTGATGCAAAACAACTCTCTGTTTAAAGGTAAGCAGTGAACAATTAACAATATTTAGATTAATTGCATATTACTTTAGCATCATACTATTCTGACACCTTTATATGAATTAAAGCACATGAGATGCTAAGCGGCATCAACAAGGAATGATTTCCAGTGATCTCATTGCATTATTGGTTGTGCATGTATATCTTGCCACCATCTTTGTTTCACCACAGTGCAATCGCAGCTTAGGATAGGACTTGAACAGAAGCATAAACAAGATGACACAAACAGTTTGAAAGATTTCAATGTGGAAATATCTATATGGCATTCTTCTTGTTGCCCGGTTATTAGGTAGGCTATCCTTGAGGACTTACATTAATGAAAAGGTACTATATATAATTTGATGCTGTAATTTATGTTTGTAGTTTGCATTGTCTCCACATTATATACATTCATTTAAAAACATTTTCACATTGCTCTATATGCTTTATCACCCATCCGTTATTTTCCTCTGTATCCCATTTCATTTGATAAATCAACTCTATATAATGGGGCATTATTAAGAACTCTAACTAGTATCTATGTGATGCTTATTAATTCTTTCAGATTAGACTGCTATTGTTCTTTCACAACAGCTACCAATGCAGGCCTTAAAGTACGGCTATGCAATTTATAGCCAACCTTTGATACTAAAGCTATAGTGCCCGGTTCTTTCCCTTCTGTGGGTACTTGAAATAATGCTTCATGTTCATAAGGATCAAATTTGGCTCCGAGAGGATTCAATTTCACCAATCCATGTTTTTTAAACACTTTCTGTATTTGAACTTCAGTCATGGCAAGACCTTCATAAAGATTTTTCAAATGGGGGTTTTCATCTTTTAGTTCTTCTTTGGGAACAGACTCAGTTGCTTTTTCCAGAACATCAGCAACTTCCAGTAAGTCCTTGCAGAAACTCTGAATTCCTAGAATGCAAAACCATAGTAAAATTATAGTCAATCCTTAAAATATAGATGAATATTTCAACCACATGTAAAAATGGCATTTGAAAATGAATTTTCACTACATTTTGATTTTACTATAATAAATTGAAGCTGAGAATCAGCTACATCCAGAATGAATCATGATCATGCTGCACATCAGAACAAGTTATCATAACTAAGTGCATTCATTTCAGTGGGACTACAGTATGACTTTTTAAATATAGATCCAATCAATGGATATTATTATGAAAACATTACCAATAATTTAAGTCTTTCCAGACTCAGTTCCAAATTATAACAGAGCTTCTCTATGGTAAAATAGCTGCACTCTACTTTTTCCTCTGTAGAATACCAAGTGATCTGTGCTAAAGATTATTAGGCAAATACAGTTTGTCATTGCAGATGACAAAGTCTTTATTTTCTGAAATTATTTCCTATTTTTTTAAAAAAATAAAGAATCCAGTTCTCATATCTTTTTGTTTCCAATTCTTACGAAGCCCAAACCAAAGAAAATCAAGCACTGATAACAGTCCCAGCAGAAAACTAAATAGTTTTAATTAATAACCATTACATGAATAAAAAAAACACTAGTAACTATGGTGTATTTTATAATTATAATTGGTTGACTTTTAACAATTTACAATAACTGAGTTCACACATTGAGCCAAGAGCATTCAATTGATATATGGATAAACCTAGTCGAAATTAGTATGTTCGGGCTTGCACCTGCATTCTAATTCCAATAAGCAAAATGTGAATATACCATATAATTTTGCTTCTTCTACCAATTTCTGAGTTCTCTGCCGGAGATTCTCTGCATCTGCCAGGGCACGTTTATATTTATCCTAGAACAAAAAAAGAAGTGTAATGACACAAGGTAAAGTATAAAGTCAGTCAAATTATAGAACTCCTCTCATTCCATCCCCATTTATATCCATTTAACTTTTCAAATGAGGTTTTAAATTGTATTTTATTCTGATTATTTTGGAAGTCCCAAATATGTGTTACTATAGGTTCAGAAGACATGCTAAACTTTCAACCCTAGTTAATGAATCCCAAGCAATGGAGGATAGGATGGACATGCATACATTCTCATTAATCTACTCTCATTAACCCTTTGTTGTGATTTAGGATGCAGTGTGAACACTGTCAATGAGGTATATCAATCATACCTGGCTAAAAATATAAAACTACTATTGCAGCAATTTGTATGTTAAATGGGATGATGGGAGAGACATAATACATCACTTATTTTGCACAGAATAATGTTGCTTTGTTTTGCACACACCAAGTTATGGTTTATGGCCAATTTATGGTTGATCTATGAGTTTATGGTTGATTTGATTAAACAATGAGTTACAAACCATCATCACTTAGCATAATATAGGTCAGTGATGGCGAACCTTTTAGAGACCGAGTGCCCAAATTGCAACCCAAAACCCACTTATTTATCGCTGGGTGCCAGGTGGGTGTGGCTGTGGTCATGGCAGACTGGGTAGGTGTGGCCACTTCGTTGTTGCTTGTGGGGAGGGATGCCTGTGGGGGGCGGACAGGGTTGGGAGAGATCTAGGGGGTCTCTGGCAGGCGGGCGGTGGGCAGGAGGCTCATCCTGAGGGGTGAGGCGAGGCATGGCAAGGCAGGGCGGGGGTGCAATTGTTGCAGGGCAAGATGAGGCAGCGGCCAGGGCGGCTGCTGCCTAACACCATCGGCCCCCGCACACAGAGACCAGTGAGTGCATAGGGGCCAACAGTGTCCGTCAGCAGCCACAGCCTGCCGGCCCGTCGACCGGTGCACTCGGGGGCTCTGCAGCCCACCCCCAGCAGTTCAGAGAAGCCGCCTTTGAAGCCTCCCTCTGGGGAGGGAAACCAGCCATGCTGGGATGCATCCGGCCACGTGGGACCTCAGCAAGTTAGCAGGCGGCTGGTTGAAGAGGGACAGTTGCCATTTCCAGGGCATGGTGCGCGTGCCCAGAGAGGGCTCTGAGTGCCGCCTCTGGCACGCGTGCCATAGGTTTGCCACCACTGATACAGGTAATCCTCAATTTATGTTGGCAACTGCAACTGGAACTCCTACAATTCCTCCATTCCCAGTTGCTGCTGTTAAACAAATCCTATGATTGTTAGGTAATGCAACATCCTGCCACATTCCCACAAACAAGTCAGCAGGAAAACTGGGAGGAAATTGTGATCCCAGGCAACTCACAAGCAGGTAAGTGGCTGCTGCCCGGTGGAAGAGGGTACAAAGGAATGCAGGGAAGGTACACAGTGAGGCTGGGGAGGATGCCTAGGGATGCAGGAAAGGCTCTGAAAGAAGGTGCAGGTCAGGGAGGGTGCATGAAGGTGTGGGTTGGGGATGGTGTGCAGGGGTAGCATGGCAAGGGTCTAGTGGATGCATGAGGGTAAGGGGCAATGCGAGGGCCAAGGAGAGTGCAAAGGGATGCATGATGTGAGAAAGGTGCAGTGTGGGTTGGGGAATGTGTGAGCGAGACACAATGGAAGTTTGGGAGGGTGCAAAGGAACTGTGGCAAGAATTGGAGAAAAAATACACAAGAGAGATGTGGTACAGTTGGGCAGGATGTGCAGGAATGCACAGGTGGCCAGTGTGTTCCAAGCACAGAAAGGTTAGTGGAGGGTACACAGATGGAGACTCATTCGAGTAACTTGCGATATTCCCTCTCAACTTCCCCACTTATTTTCTTGGGAAGCCGGCAGGAAAGATTGCAAATGGTGGTCAGATGATTGCAGGGTGCTGCAACTGGTTGTACTAGCTGGCTGCCATAGGCTCCGATTGTGATCACATGACTGTGGGGGTGCTAGAATGGCTGGAACTCTGAGAACCAGTCTTAACCATCATTCCTTCAGCATCATCGTAACTTCAATTGATGAATAAATGGCTGAAAGTCAAGGACTAGCTGTATAAGAACTCACTCTACCTGCAGAGATACAGGCAGTCATCAGTTAAAGACTATAATTTGGACCAGGAACTATGTTGCTAAGTGATTTTAAGAATCACAAATTTTAGTTTGCACTGCGACTAATCATTAATTAAAATTTTTATTCACATAAACTAAAAATTCTACTTGTTCCAGATGTGATCCTGTTGCCCAAGGTTGCTTAGCAGATTGTCCAGTCACTCCTATATGTCCTTTCTTTAAAACTGGAAGCAATGGAAAACACCTTTCTATGGCATTGGAATTAGTTTTTAACCATGATACAGAGAATCCTCAACTTGAGACCATTTATTTAACAACCATTCACTTACAACGGCATTGAAAACAATGACTTATGACTAGTCCTCAAACTTATGATTATATAGCGTTGCTGCAGTCACACGATCAAAATTTAGGCACTTGGCAACCAGCATGTATTTATAACAGTTGCAGCATCCTGGGGTTTCATGATCACTATTTCTGATGTTCCCAGAGGGTCAATGGCGGAAACTGGGTTTAAAAAAAAAAAAAAAGCATGATTTGCTTAATGACTGTGATATTTTTTTTTAATTCAGGTGCAACTCACTTAATGATTGCATCATTTAGCAACAGAAGTTCCGGTCTCAATTGTGGTGATAAGTTGAGGCCTACCTGTAAAGCATTAAACCAGCAGTCTTCAAATTTGGCCCTTTTATGATTTGTGGACTTCAACTCCCAGAATTCATCAGCCAGCATGCCTGGTTGAGGAATTCTGGGAGTTGAAGTCCACATGTCATAAAAGGGCCAAGTTTGAAGACCCCTTAAACTGTCTTCCAGAACTGACTTTTCACTTAACTCAGAGGACCCCAACCTTTTGGGCACTAGGGATCGGTTGCACCCTAACCCTAACCCCCTCCTCCATCACTACTCCATGTGTGTCCCTCCCAAAGCTGCGCATTCAGTGGAAGAGCACCATCACAGATAGAAAACCACCCATCATAAACAATGAGTTTGCTTAACAACCGTGATGTTCACTTAACCAAAGATTTGTAAAATCAGGTCACATGATCCACTTTATGACCGTCATGATTGTAATTGCTAGGCTCAATTATGGTAAAATCAGGAGCAGAAAGTAGGCTGACTATATACATACATCTCTATCATACCCGATTTGTAGTATTCTATTTTAAAAACAAAAAAGCAGGCATGATCCCGAACAGTAACATCCTTATTACAGTATTACAGAATGAGAAAGTTGAAAGGGACCTTGGAGGTCTTCTAGTCCAACCCCCTGCTTAAGCAGGAGACCTATTTCCATGAATGATTCTAATCCTCACAGGCAATCTTCCATAATAAAACTGAGATTGCAGACTGACATTTGGAAATCTATTCACCTGCCCCAAAGTAGACCAAAATGATATTGAAGGGAATGGAGGCAGAGAGTAATATCACCATTTATTTTTTGTTAAGCAACCATTCTGTGGCTGGTTGGCTATGCCCAGTGTTAGCTTTAAAAAAATGAACACACCCTGTGACATCTGGTTCAGCTCCATTAAGATACAAAACAATTATTGTTTTCCCTACAATAAATAAATATTCTTACAGTTATTTCCTTTAATTGCTCTTCCAGTTTAGTCTTTTCCTCTGTTAATATATTTGCACCAGAGCAAGAATCAGGTTTTTGTTCATTGTGCCTCTGGCTTTGTTCTTCTTCCAAATTTGGTCCAGTGCTTTTTTCCTGGGTCATTGTGCAAAGCAGCTGAGTAGACCTAAAAACAAGATCAGAATCAGTAAAATTCTAAAAAAATAGGGATATGAGTGGATACAAATCCAGAGTATTTTAGAGCAAGAAAAAAGATGTTTTGTATTAGAAAAACTGGTAATATGCTGCTTAACACACTCTGACCCCAAACCACTTAACTATGTGGGGTTTTTTTGCCAATGGCATACAAATTAAGTCTTTCTGGGAGATCACTTATCCTTGTATTAAAATTAGTACTTTCATCATCATTGCTTTTTTTCTTGCAGGTACAGGGTCCGCTTTTCGGATCAACATGTGCCCTCTTGTGCAATCAAACAGTTGTCCTTTATTTGACATAACAATTCTCATTTACTTCTCCAATTATTAAAATAAAATAAAAAATACTGACATTAAACCTGTCGTCACATCATCTACAAAAGCACTTTTCTATGATAAGTTTACCATGACCACTGTAGATCCCAACATGATTCTAGAAGCTTTTATTCTAGTCCTACACCCATCATTCTATTTCAAAACGTTATTCCATCCCAGGGACCTGAACTGTTCCGTTATTCAAATTCCATGCCTATTTTAGCAAAAGTGGACATTATTCCAGCCTGCTTACAGTCTTTCATTAGTACTATCCAGTTTTTCTTTTTTTAAATATGACCTACTTTAGGAGGCTTTTAAAAATAAGAAAACAGGAAGAATGATTTTAGCTTTGGGTATAATATATTAACATAACATTAAAACAAACAAGAATCTAGTCCTTAAAATAATATATATCAGGCAACAATTTCAATCCAATCCTTGGCCTATTCCATCTTCTTTCACAGTCAGTTCTGTATTTTATTTACAGAATAAAATTTCTCAATAAAGCCCAGATACCAAGTTATTTTGAGTGACCATTATATACTATGGACATTTAGGTCCTTTCACTATGACCAAGCAAACTATTTAATTTCCTGCTTTACATACAGTCCGGGATTTTAAAAACCTAATTTTTACTATTTTGGCCAGTAAAATTGTCATGAGGTAAAATTGAAAAAAAAAAAAAAAAGAGGAGTGGAAGGAGAAAGAAGTAATCCATAAGCCTGGCTTGCCTGCTGGGCTAAAACACTACCTTTTGCTTTTCTTTTGGAGCCCTTAAATTAGTTTTGAAGAGATTTAGTAAACAGCATTTCTTGATACGCACGTGCTTTTCAAAAACTTAAAAGCTATTCCCTCGAAGCATCGCCAAGAAAATCCGAAAAGCAAAACCAGGGAAGGTCGTATCATCTCTCCCACCTTCGCAAGAAGAAAGTGGCCCAACTCTACACCCACGTTTCGTCACTTACAGGACAGGCCTTTCTACCCGGCCACCTCCCTTCCTTCCGGTTCTCTCGGCACAGCACTTTCCCAACTCCTCCAAATGTCTTATTTGGTTGGAAGCCGTCCCTGCGGTACACGCCACTCTGGGAAGACTGGCTACCTCGCCTTCCTAAAGACCGAGAGGCCCTGCTCGAAAAGAGACGCCTGGTATATATAGTCGCCTGATGATTCCCAGCCGTGCTCCTCTCCCAGAAAAAAAAAGAGAGAGAAGCGCCGCCTCCATTTTCTCCCTCTTACCGCCGCGAAGCCCCGGACAAGAGAAAAGCCGCTCGCCCCGCCAGGCGCCGCGCGCCGCACACGACAACCGCCGCCATGCCGCCACCTGGGTCCCTTCCGCTTAACTTCCAACGGAAACGGATCCCGTCAAATCAGAGGGCGCGTCTGTCGTACTTGGCGGCTCACTTAGCCAATTAGGAACGCCATTGGTACCACGTGCCACGAAGAGCGCGCTATCGTCTTCCGCCGCTTAAGCGGGGTCGGTCTTCGATTTAAGGAGAGGAAGTATAAGGTGTTATCGGCGGAGGCACGGTTGCGTAGCAACTCTGTTTCCCTACGAATTCAGAAGAAAATATCAGTTCTTCGGCAACGTACTAAGTCAAATTTAAACGAATGATATTTTAGGTGCCTGGGTTTCTTTCTTTTTTTAAAATGTGTGAGCGTGTGGCTTCGAACCGGTGGTGACTCCTGGCGACTACCTGGACTAATCCTTACAGTTTTCTTGGCAAGATTTCGGAAGCGATTTGCCACTGCCGGCCTTCTTAGAGGTTGAGAGAACTGAGCGACTGACCCAAGGTCACCCAGCTGGCTTTGTAGCTAAAGCGGAACTAGAACTCTCGGTCTTCCGGTTTCTAGCCGGGTGTCTTACCGATGTTTAATTTGGCTTTCTTATACCGAACTGACTCTCTGTCCGGGTTTCTACATTTAACTTGAAACAACCAGAACATGCGAATAAATAATAATTTATTAGCCTTTAGATAGTATGTGCTGCAAATCTAAACCAATTTCAGACAAGAGCTATGTAGAGTTTAGCAATAATTTTCTGAAAAAGCTCTAACAGATACTAAACTAAGTCACGTTATGGTTGAATTTACATGACAAACATTAACTATAGCTACATCTGGTCTGAACTTTGGGTACCTGACTTGCTCACTGATCCCATGTCAGAGTGTCATCCCTGAGGTAGCTACACTTTCTTGAGCTTTTAAATATTTAACAAAACAGATTACCAAAAGGTTTAGCTTCTCTTACCCATTATTGCTGTCATTTCATCTCTCCAAATCAATTAGAACGGAGGGATGAAAATACCTCCTACAATGCAGCTTACAGAGCCTTCTAAGTTCACTTTTTATCTGCCTGCCTACAAATCAAAAGGCAAGGTTAGCCTGAAGTTTTCTTTCATTTTTTGATATAAGAAGTCATGCCTAAATCTGGATATCAGCAAGCAAATGCAATATTGAAAATGTTTCTACCATCTAATGGATATTCTGATTTTTACAATCTAGATCTTATAGTTCTATTTAACTTATTCTTGTGCTATTTAACTTATTCTGGGGGGGGGGGGCTTCTGAATTAGTTTGGCCATGATCCTGACTCAACCTACTGGGCTTGCAAGACCCAAGGGCTATTAATATCCTAACCCATATAAACTGGTCATTTCCAGGCCAAAGCTTATTAAGAATGATTACAAGAATGATTAAGGGTCTGGAAGCTAAAACATACAAAGTATGGTTATAGGAATTGGGTATGTCTAGTCTAATGAAAAAAAAAAAAGGACTAAGGGGAGACATGATATCAGTGTTCCAATATTTGAGGGGCTACCACAAGGAAGAGGGGGTCAAACTATTTTCAAAGCACCAAAAGGCAAGATAAGAAACAATGAATGGAAACTAACCAAAGAGAGAAGCAACTTAGAACTAAGGAGAAAATTCCTAACAGAGCAATCAACCAATGGAAATCTATCTTTCCCCTTCCCTCCCTCCCTGTTCCTCCCTTCCTATCTCCCTTTTTTCCTCCTTCCCTTCCTGTACCTTCCTTCCTTTCCCTCCATCCTTTCCATTCACCCTACTTCCTTCCCTCTTCTATTTCTGTTCCTCCATTCCTCTTCCCTGTCCAGCAGGCAGGTAAGTGTCAGCTGCTGAGAGGCGGAGGGAGCAATGCAAGTGGTCAGCACAGTGCAAGCTCAGAGGGACTGGAACATTTCTGCATTGACTTTTTTCCAACAATTATATCAATTCTTTCCAGGTTCCCCACTGACTTGTGAGAAACTATCAGGAATGTTGAAAATGAGGATCACATGACTGTAGCTGACTTTGGCAGTGTGGCAGCAATGTTAAATAGCAGCAGTGCAGCAAAAAATTCCCCAAATTTCATTCCCTCTGGAATATTGGATCCCAGCATTCCATTAATTAGAATGGGTCAATTTGCTGTGGCCAACTCAGTGTGATCAGCTCACTGCTACCAGTTTGCCACTACCAAGTCACCTCTGCCAATTTACCACTGCCAAGTTTCCACAGGACAATTATACAGGCATAACTTGCCACAGCAGTTGGAGGGAGAGCCAAGTGGGTAGGCAAGCAAGTGAGTGGTCAAAGCACAGAGCAGCGGTAGCAGCCAGAAACTTCCCATTTTCACATACCCCACACTGCTGCTGCCACTGAGCTCCAGGCCTAAGAGGCCAGGGATGGTGGTAGCAGTGGGCTGGGCAGGGAGGATGCAGTGGCCAGGTGCATCCCATTTTCACACACCTCGATGCTGCTGTTGGGCTGAACTTTGGGCTAAAGGAGGAGGTGGTGGCCAGGGTCATCCCTTTTTCACACACACCACTGCCATCACTGCTGCCATGTGGAGCTCCAAGCCAAAGAGGTTGGAGATGGTAGTGGCAGTACGTGTGTGTGTGTGTGTGTGTGTGTGTGTGTGTGTGTGAGAGAGAGAGAGAGAGAGAGAGAGAGAGAGAGAGAGAGAGAGAAAATGGGACGCCTCCCTGGCTGCTGTTGCTTCTCTACCACCCACCCTGCCCACCGCTGTCCCCAGCCTCTTCGACCCGAAACTCAGCAGCAGTGGGGCTGCGAGGGCGTGTATGAAAATGGGATGCTCCTGGCCACCATCATCTGCATGACCCCTGCTCCACACGCTACCACTGTCCCTGACTTCTTCATCCTGGAGCTCAGTGCAGTGGCAGAAGCAGCGGTGTGTGTGTGAAAATGGGACATCCCTGGCTGCTGCCAACACCTGCCCCACCCACCACTGCTGTCACTGTCCCCAGTCTCTTCAATCTGGAGTTCAGCATGGCAACAGTGGAGGTGTGTGAAAATGGGAAACCTCTGGCCACCAGTCTGTGCTTTGCCCACTTGCTCACCCATCCATTTCTCCAGCCACCCACAGTAAGTTGTCCCCATGGCGAGTTGGCTGTGTGTTCTTTGGCGGCAGTGAATTGGCAGAAGCGACTTGGCAGTGGTAAGCTGGAAGCAACGAGCTGGCCATAGTGAGTTGTCCTAGACCCCATTTGATATACCTTTGTTGACAAAGTATTGCCCTATTTTCCCCAACTAAGTTACAAAGTTATCAAACACACAAGTGTTTTAGTAGTATACAGGTAGTGATTTTTCTCCCTAAAACTACCTGCATGCATCTAAAATGATGTAATCCAAAAATAAAAGGGGAGAATCATTAAGATTTAGGAAAATTATTTGCATAAATATACAAATTAGGAACAAAAACCATTTTAAGGAAGTAGAAAAGTAATAAAAGAAAATGGCTAGAAACCAGAACCAGGAAGAACCACATTTTAGCTTAGCATTATATACAGCAGGGGTGTCAAACTCTATTTCATTGAGGGCCGCATCAGCATTGCGGTTGTCCTTAGGGGGCTGGGTAGGTGTGGCCAGGTGGGCATGGCCTACTGGGTGGGCGTAGCTGGAGTGGGTGTGGCCTACTGGGTGGGCATGGCCAGCTCTTCATGGTTCACGTCAAGGGGGCCTGGGCAGGAGTGGGACAGATCTGAGAGTCTCTGGTAGAAGGGGGTGGGACCGGGGCAAGCGCCAAGCCATGGTCTATTGGAGGAGTCTCACTGTTCCTCTCAGGCCATGCAAGGGGGGGGCTGGATGGTGGTGCAGACTGCCCGGAGCCCTGGACAGCAGAGGTCAAATGCCCAGCTTGGCCGTCCAGCCACCCACAGTAAGTTGTCCCCATGATGAGTTGGCTGTGTGTTCTTTGGTGGCACCTGCGGCACCAAGCCCAGCCCCACTACCCCAAGGGGGTGCCCAGCTGCACTTACCTCCTCCTCAAGGCTGCTGCTGCTGCTGTGCTTGCTCTGCTTAGCCAGGTTGCTCATGATGGGTATGGGGCAAAGTCAGAGGGAAGCCTACTCCCTCTCCATGGGAGGAGACCCGGCTTTCTATCCAAAGCTTCCTTAGCAATAGGATGGGAGACCCCCAGGATAGGCTAGGAGGAGGGGGCAAGGGGATGGTGAAAGGGCAGCAGGGCAAGACTAAGGCAGGACTTCCTTCAGACCCTCCCTCTCCTTCCTTCCTTCCTTCCTTCCTTCCTTCCTTCCTTCCTTCCTTCCTTCCTTCCTTCCAAGAACAGAGTAGTGGGAAAATATTTGAGATGAGGGAGGGAGAAAAACAGGCAAGAAACGCAGCTGGGAAGGTGTCACCCTTCATGAGGAATGAAGAAATGCACCATCACCTGGAAGCGGTCAGCACGTGGCCCTCGCCTACTTCACATATCTGGCTTGGTGGGCTTTGGGGGAGGGGACGCCATGAGCAATGCGAGAGTCGACGTTACCTGCACAGTGCCGTCCAGCCCCCAGCCTGCCCGGTTTCGGCAGGCAGCGAGGCACTCTCCTCACAGTGCTGAAAGGCTGAGCCAGGCAGCACGAATCCGAAAAGAAGCCCAATGCCACCCAGCTCCCAGCCTGCCTGGTTTCAGTAGGCATTGGGGTGCTCTCCTCACAGTGCCGAGAGGCTGAGCCAGGCAGTGTGAATCCGAAGAGAAGTGCGATGCCACCCAGCCCCTAGGATGCCGGGTTTCGGCAGGCAGTGGGGCACTCTTCTCATAGCACCGAGAGGCTGAGCCGGGCACTGTGAAGCTCGCCAGCTCTGCACCTTGCTGCCTGCTGAAATCAGGCAGGCTGGGGGCTTCTTTTGGGATTTGTGCCGCCTGGTTCAGCCTTTCAGCTCTGTGAGGACAGTGCCTGCTGAAACCCCCAGAGCCCAACAAGCCAGATATGTGAAGTAGGCGAGGGCCATTTGCTGGCCACTTCCAGGCAATGGTGCATTTCTTCGTTCCTCACAAAGGGTGACACCTCCCCAGCGCATGCCCAGGGGATGGGGCCAATGTGGCAGGGGCCAGTCCCTTGCTGTTTTCAGACGGCCTTGTGGAGCTAAGACTGAATGTGTTTCAGCATAGATGGTCACCACAAAATTGTACATTGGCTCCTGGGCAGCCTGGGCCGGGGCCAAGGCAACAGGGGCCATTCCCTCACTGTTTCCAGGATGGCTTTGCTGGCTACATGAAACCATGTCGCCGGCCGCATCCGACCCCCGGGCCTTGTGTTTGACATGTCTGATATACAGGTAGTCCTTGACTCACAACCATTTGTTAAGTGACTGTTCAAAATTACACCAGCACTGAAAAAAGTGGCTTTCACACTTACAACTTTTGCAGTTTCTTCATGGTCCTATGATCAACATTCAGTTGCTAGTTAACTAGCATGCATTTATAACAGATGCACTGTCCCAGGGTAATGTGGTCATCAATTGTAATCTCAGCCAGCTTCCAACAGGCAAAGTCAATGGGGAAAGACAGATTTGCTTGCGTGAGTCACTTAACAATTGCGGTGATTCGTTTAACTGGTAAAAGTCATAAAATGAGGCGCAACTCACTTAACAACTGCCTTGCCTAGCAATAGAAATTTTGGGATAATTTGTAGTCATAAGTCAAGGACTTACCTGTATAAACTTTGCCTATATGATGGTTAATGGTTTAATATGTTATATAAACCTAGAAAATTGAATTGATAAATGGTGCTTAAATGTAGTATTAATGACAGTATATTAATTCTATTGATAAGAGTAAATATTGTAGTTCTAGAAACTATGATTGTGTAGGAAAAACCTTAAGAATAAGGACAGTAAAATAATTCAGAAAACAAAAGTCAAATTTAGAATCTAATAATTATTTACAATATATTAATTGTCAATAATAATCAGTAATAATTCAACAATATGGAGAAATAAATTATATTTAAGACATGATTCAAAATATAGCGTAATAGGATCTTATATAAGCAATATTGTGTTATATGGCAGTACATTGGCTTTGTTATATTTTTATTTTGATGTACAGCATGGGACTTGTATTTCTCTTAGAATTGATTCTTGCTGGAACATTTAAAAACTGCAATTAAATAAAGTAGCTTGTAGTGTAGTAGATTACACGTGTTATGAAATAGCACTTTTCTATTTTAGTTTTTCTTGCACAGGAACATATTCATGGTGCACAATTCTTACTCAGGGTTTTAAGGTGAATCGATGATAATTGCCAGAGGCTGCTGGAAGATTAATTTAATGAATCCTCATTATTGTCACCTAGCTCTTGACAATAATTTTAAGGTATGTATATTCAGCCTTTTTAACAGAAGGACACCATGAATTAAGCTACTAAACTGTTAACTGTACTTTTGGATCCTGCTTTTGTACTTTTGTACTGGTCTTGGACCATAATAAAATTTATCTAACCCAAAAGAAGTGTACAATAGCCATAATGTTGATTGCTTTCTGATTGGTACCTTGGTTCCATCATATTTTCTACTTGCTCTTCCGGTGGAAGTATTCAGGGCTGCCTCTTATTAACAGTAAGACGCTAAAGCTGGAATAGCGGAATCTTTATCTTGCAAGGCTGTTGTTTTTTTCAGGCTTGACAACAAAAGTGAAAACTGAAATGCTAAATCCTGCTGTTCTCAGCGTACCCTACTTTAGAAGGTTGTTGAAAGGATGTGATCACAGATGGAAACCATTGAGGACATTCTGAGCTCTGAGGAACAGTCGAGTACAAATGAAATGGGTCCAAGTCTGAATCTTTCCAAGAACCAGTAACCTCTCTGTATTATCTACCCCTCACGAGATAATTATCCATCAAGTTCAAATAATACCCGTTCGTATTATCAGAGGAACGTGGTTTGACATTTCTTGCTATTCGATGACTGCCCCTTAGAAAGGGGTTGGGAGTTGGATTATTCGCGAGGCTCTCTCAGAAGGTGGCACTCAAAGTCTTCAAACCGATGGCGTGACCGAGGTGTTGTTATCCAAGGGCTGACAATTGCTCGGCCACGCTTTCTTCACACGGCTAAATTGCGCAGTCTCATCTGCTACGAGAGCATTAGCGCGCCGTCTGCTCCGCTCTTCGGCATCCAGCAAACCCACCAAGGAGCGCCGGCAGAGGGCAGCGCTGCTCCTTAACTGGGCGTGGAGGCTCAGACACGTTGTTTCCCACGCAGCGCAACATCGCGACGCTCCCTCGGTCTCGGGCTCAGCCTCCCTCGCGCTCGCTCATCTGCCAGACTCCTATCTTTGCCCGGCGGGAGTGCAGCGGAGGCCGAGCGGGGCGCCAGCAGCTCACCAGGAAAGTGGAGCGTCGAGCCTCGGGATGCCCCTAAGGCTGCTACTCTTGCTGCTTGCGCTGGATGCCTCCCGGGCGGCGCGTCCCCACGACTGGCTGTACCGCCAGAGACGGAGCAGCCCGCGGGAAGAGGAGGAGGGCGGCCTGCGGGATCGTGCCGCGGGTGCCCCGGAGGCGGCTTCCTTGCTTAGCACCTCTTTCGTCCTGAAAGGCGACGCGGCTCACAACCAAGCGATGGTGCATTGGACGGGCGACAATAGCAGCGTAAGTGCTTAGTTGATGCTGCTCGCCTCGCGATCTGGAATCGCTCCTTGAGCTGCGGGCTTTCCTGCTCGTTAGAGCGGAGTCCTCATGGCGCCCTCGCCGGCAGCGGGGAGGGGGAGGGGTAGTGACGTGCCACGTTTGGGTGGGGAAGGGAACACCCTCTTCGGTCCTCCTCTAAGGAAGAAGAGGGGTCGCGCGGGTGCCTTTTGGAAGCCTAGCGAAGGCTTTCTCAGTTGCCTCTAAAGCCAGCCCCGTTCTCAGCTGGTCAGACAGACCACCAATACGGGGAAAGAAAGCTTGACATGTAGAGGGGCGAATGGGATTCATATTTTCTTGGATTTTGCCTGCTAAGGCGGATTAAGCCATCCAAATGCCGTTGCTTCCGAACTGGTGGGAATAAGTTAGTATCTCTGACGGGGCCTACTCCAAACACCGGCTCAAAAAAAAAACAACCAAAACCCAATGAGATTTCCTCTCACTCACCCCCCCCCCCGTTAGAGACACGAACCCCATTTTTCATATCAATTTCATAATCTCCCGGATGTCAGTGGAAGTATATTTGTCCATTTAAATCTCTCCCAACTAAGATAATTTTTTTATCCCCTGTGTAACTCTAGGAACATAATTTTGCCCTTTCCTGGATTGTGACAGTAGGGGAATCTTACCCGTTTACACTTAGAAATGCCTGCTTGTCCCAGATTGCCGTGTTACAGGACCACCTTGGGACTCCTCCAATCCCGGCTCCACCCACGCCACTTGATGGTTACAAATGGACATGTCATGCTTGCACACAAAGAGACACAAGCTTTCTCTTGGCAATGTAAGAATGGAACCACAGTTTGAGATCCTCTAGCACAGAGGTCCTCAACCTTTTGGGCACCAGGGACCAGTTCCGTGGAGAGAGGTTTTTCCGCGGACTGGAGGGTGTATGGTATTGTATGCTGCCTGCATCTCATGGATGGGGCTTTGCTTGTTTGTGCGGACCAGTTGCTGGCATGCCATGGCCCAGTACTGGTCCACAGACTGGGAGTTGGAGACCCCTGCTCTAGGATATCTAGTTTGGATGAGAGGTATGCTGATAATCGTGAAAATTAGTATTCAGTTCCCATCCTATTTAATTTTATGACAGTTTTTGAAGAACATGATTTCAGAGGCAAAAGTATTGGTCTTTAAAGTTTTAAGATCTCCAGAAATGCCAACACCAATTAATATCCATCTGCCCAAAAACAATGTGTCTTAAAATCGAGGCAGTTACGGGTATTTCATAATTTGGCGGCATTCTGTGTTGGTTATTTCATTATTTTTTGTGCTTTCCCAAGACAAGATTTTTTTGGGCCAACTAACTACAACTAATTCATTCAAATTTTGTGGAACCTCTCTATACGTTATCATGTAAAAGCAGACAGCAGCTGCTTTTTTAAAATAAAAATTAATGACTATTGTCATCTTTTATATAAAGATGGAATGGTAATGTAATTTTCACAGCTGCAAATATATTGAGCGTTAGTGCTCATTTTTTCAAAAAGAGGTTGGAGGTGTTCATTGATTAATAGAGCAGCTCAAATACCAAAGCATAAACATATGTTCAGTATAATCTTTGCAGTGAGTTACTTTATATCTGGTGTATTTTATTACTGTTTAAAAATAGCAATCAAATACTTTTCTGGATATTTAAAAAGACATGTTTAAATAATATGGTTTTAAATTTAAAAGAAATTATAAAGGAAAAAGCAGGAAAATCTACCACAAAAACATATCTTTATTATATGTTAATGCAAACCAATCATACATATATATTCATGTCACAGTGCCCAATTTAATTAATAACTTTTAAATCAGTTTTCTTAACAGTTCGAAGAGGAAATTAACTGTATTGACCACTTATGTAGCCCAGATTTTCAAGCAGCCGGTGTTTTCTTTTAAAAAGTGTTTTATTTCATTTTATCACAAGTTTGAAACTTTAAGAAAATTCTCTTTCAGTTTCTCAGTCATATTTCAATAATGTCTTATAAACAGAGCTTCTGAATGTTGTGTTATAAGCTTTTCAAATTCAGTCAGGTCTGACTGTTCTACTTAGTTTTATAATTCTTTTTGAATTAGTTGAAGATATTAGAACGAATGTCATAAGTTGAGGACTACCTATATCTTTTAATTAAACCACACTTTATCCTGGGTCTACCAGTATTTTGAAACATGCCCTCTTTATTGGATCTTAAATGTGACTCTCAACCTGAGAGGAAATATGTGCTCTACGAGGAATGAAATATGTATGTGCAATTTTTTTTTCTCTCTCTCCCTGAAATTTCCTTCCACCAAATTCTTAAAGTGGCTAATTATCTGTTCCTACTCTCAGCAGAGAGCAGGTAAAAAAGAACATGTCTTATACTACCATGGTTACTTTCTCTCCCCAGCACTGGCATTGCAGTTACTATAGGCTGAAGCCCAGGTAGACAATTTCCTGAGATGGCCACATTGTCATCACTGTCCAGCCAAGTCTCAGTAATACCTACTAGATCAGCATCCTCATCCATCATCATATCAGAGTTGGATGCAACCTGTTTATGATCTGTCCTTTACAAGCAGCCCTAGAACTAGGACATCCCCTTCTCCTGTAGCAACATGCGCAGGGTGATGTTGCTTCTTCTCCTGCCTGTCTTTATCCCAGTTTGGGTCCCAATTGCCTTAGCCCCAGAGACAGACAATTTCTCCCTTCCATCTATCTTCACATGCCCCTCTCGGCCCCGCTCTTTGGCTTACACTGGTGTGTATAAGCAAGCACACTGTATCTGTACTAACCAGATACATAACCCCTGGTATTCAAGGTCCTATCTGTCTACCCCAGTGTTTCCCAAACTTGACAATTTTAAGGCATGAGGACTTCAACTCCCAGAATTCCACAGCCAGCATTGCTGGCTATGAAATTCTGTGAGTTGAAGTCCTCATGCCTTAAAATTGTCAAGTTTGGGAAACACTGGTCTACCCTAATACTTATTCTATTTTCTTTTGCCTTCAACCACATAGCTAGCCTCCCCAAACCTTTCCAGGAGCTTTTCCCTACTCTCCACACAGTATCATGTATTACCTAGTAAAACGAGAACGGGAAAAGAGAACATTTCAGCACTTCTCAGCTGCATCTGTAGCATGTGAGCTGAAAAGTCCAAGTCCAGGTTTGATTAACCTAACTCTGCTATGGGTTCTAGGTCACTTCCTTTCTGCAGACATGGTATTCCTTCTCTCCCTGTCACTGTTTTCTTTCTCCATGTCGCTGGTTTCCATGAATTCTTTTTTGAAGGAGCCAATCGAAAATTTCCACTTCTGTTCTATTTTCCTCAAGTTACTTAATTACCTGCAAAACCAGATTCCAGCCTCTAACATTGATCTTTGTTGCTTTGTGTCATTAATGATAACTGCTCTGTTGTCCTCTGCAGCAATTCCCATATAGGGTTTTGAATCTGAATTTGAATATTCCTTGTTGATATTTTTGTTACAGTCTTTTCCAGTTCAGCTTTCTTGTGGGTATGGGGCAGAAACTGGTATCACCAACTTGGATGATCTTTTCTTTCATCTGTCCTACTTCACCAATGTCTTCCTTCCCTCTGGGACTTATTTAAAGATACTTGCAGTTTTCAGTCATCCATCACTTTCACCCTACCCAATTTCCTCACTCTCCTCACTTCTCATTATCCTGCAATAATATAATTAACACCAACACTGATTAAGCTGACTAAATTAAACATTTAACCAGACTACTACTAAAATTAATCATCTGTCCAATAGTTCATATGCATCTCTAGATCCAAATGCTGGCTGTCCTGCATTTGTGGAATTACTACAGAGTTTCATAAGCTATGTCTTAGTCTTGGGAGGAAAAAGTGCTACCAAGTACCAAATTCGGCCAGTACAAAACAGAAACTATAGGTTCGTGATGTAGAATTAAATTTTCATTGAGATACTAGTATAGAGTTACCCCCTCATTCTGCCTGGATAGACTCCCGTGACTTCCTGCTCCCTTAGTCTGATGGACTGAATTCAAACAACCCACCATTTCCTCTACTTCAGTGTTTCCCAAACTTGACAATTTTAAGGCATGTGGACTTCAACTCCCAGAATTCCACAGCCAGCGTTGCTGGCTGTGGAATTCTGGGAGTTGAAGTCATCATGCCTTAAAATTGTCAAGTTTGGGAAACACTGCTCTACTTCTTCATTCTTTTTTTTTTAATTTTATTATTTTATTTTCATTACAATCATAAGAAAAAAAATTCAGATACATAACATGTTAAAATACAACACACAAATTCTGGCATTGCTCACCCATTTCCCCCCAAACCGCATCCCCCTCTCATCTTCACTTCCCCCTTCCTTCTACTTCCTCACTCTCCTCCTCTCCTCCCTCTCTCCTCCATCTTTCTACTTGCTTATCCCTCTCCTCTTCTTCTCAATCGGATGCGGTCTAGGGGAAAATGCCCGAGCAATCCTCTATCACCAAAAAAAAGAAAAAAAAATCTTAAAAATATAAAACTATTCCTACTTATCTGAACTATTGAACATACTACCCATACTCTCCCCTCCCCCCTCCCCCTTCTCCCCCCGGCTTCCCAGAGCTCAGTACAGGGTTACACACACACAAAAAAAAACTAAACATAATCAACTTAAATTTACTACTTATACAATAACCAAAATCATAATAACCCTTAACTCTCTGCAAACTTCAATTCATAATTTAATAAAAATCCATTATTCATAAAATAAATGAAACTTTGTTGTTCCATACTTCTTCTGAATATATTCTATCCATCTTCTCCATACAGAAACATATCTCTTTTGTGAATGGTCCTTTAAGTAAGCAGAAATTTTAGCCATTTCTGCTAAATTAGAAACCTTGAATATCCATTCTTCTAAAGAAGGCAGAGAATCTGAAAGCACTCTGGAATACTCCTTTTCCATTCCAGCAGTGCATAAAAGTGGTGGCGGGGGGATCTCGATCCACCCTCATATCTATCACATACACCCTCTGATCTGGGACAAGGACCCTCATTATCTGTAAGATTTGTTCTTCTGACCAAACATTGCCAGGAATATCAATTACTACGCTCATCCTCACTTCACTATTCTGCTCTTTGCACCACCTAATAACTGTGTTAGAGTCCATTTTGTTCACATGACTCATACGTTTATGTAAAACCAACCTCCCCTTCTAAAAGAGGAGGGGCCAGGCAGGGTATCCCAGATGAGCCCCCACATGTAGCATTACCCCCTCAGAGGCCGCCAAAGCCCAGGTCCCCCCTAGTCCTCCCTCTTTCTGTTGCGCTCAGCAGCCGCGCCCTCAAGGCACTGGTGGAAAGTCCCTTTTCGACAGGAGCTCACGCGGAGTAGGAAAGGGGTGGCAGGTCCTTGTTGTCATCAAAGGAGTCCACAGGAACAGGATGACCAACTCCCCCAGCGGTCATAACGGTAATAGTCAATGGCTTTCAGCAGTCGCTGGGAAAATGGGGGGGGGAAGGGAAGCACATATTTATGTGGTTTCCAGAAGATCTCAAGAATGTCTTGAAGGAAAAGAGCAGCGGAAAAATAAAAGTTTTCTCTGTACATTGAAAGATCAACTTCTATCAATTTTCCAAGTATTGTGAAGCTCAAATTATGCTAGATCCCTACTTTCTTTTGATTTTGAAATCTCTTTCATTCTGCTGGATTTAGAGTTGAAAGAGTAGGCAGCCAGTCTTAAAAGACAGGGCGGGGGCATTAAGCAACATTTCTTACCAAGTGGAACATAGCCAAAGAGCTAATTTGGGAAAAGCCTCATTGTGTCAACCATCTGTCTAGCGAATTCAAAATTAAGGAATCTTCACAGCTTTGAGGTGCCAGAAAAGATAAACTTTATTGAATATATATCCCGGTATTGAAGAAACAAAACCAACTCTAGTTTTCCCGCAATAAAATCTGGTTAGTTAACAATAGCTTTCCATAACTTCCACTCACCATGTTGCCCTATGAGAATGGTTCACTTCTCCGTCAGACACCTGCTTTTGTGACCTTGGCTCTCATGGTTTATGGTTGGCTTCTTAGAATTCTGTTTCTTTCCCAAGCTTTCTATTCTGTCCTCCCTATATCTGTGGCAAGTTGAATAGTGATAGAAGTTAGCAAGCATCTTAGTAATTCAACCTTGACACATTGAGAGCAAATGAGCGGTATGAGCTATTCCTTGGTAGGTGGCTTGAATAAGGAACACAAACAATTTAGAGATAAACTATAAATAGAATAGAATAACAACTTTATTGTCACTTTGAATGTACAATAATCGGCATACATTAAAATGAAATTTTGTTGCATAAAGCTCTCAAATGGTCACCACCTCCAATATACACTACATAAATATGACAAAAATAAATAAATACAGAATTATGCATAGACCCACATAAATTATAGGTTCTGTTTCAGCTATCATAAGAAACTACATTGTGAACATATCACAATCTCTAAGCCAAGGATTCAAAGGATGTTTAGCCAGAAAAAAACCTTCAATTTTATTTATGGAATGAAACAAACAAACAGCATGATGGCTTAGCATTATGTGAAAATGCATCTAAAGGCTAGAAGCTTAATTATAGTTTACCTATGAAATAAAAAAATTATGTACTGTATCTGTTTATTTAAACTCTAAACCTATGTACACTTTGCTAGGAATAAATCCTTTTAATCTCATGATTTTAAGTAATAGCTACATCAATCTGTTCTGCTGATTTTCTGAGACATTTTTGGTTTACAGTGCAAACCTGGATTTATCTGTTTGGCAGTTAAGCCCCTTTGATACCTCTCTGACCACAAAAAGGCAAAGAAGCAAAGCAGTGATACAATGAATAACTTAATAATTCTTAGAATTCAAGTCTTGTAAGTTTGTTTATTTTATTGCATATTAATATGGATACTTTAATTATGTATATGTATATATATGTGTGTGTGCATATGTATAGCTTAGTTTTCTTTTTTGCATGCTTTCCTTTAGGTAATTCTGATCCTTACTAAATATTACCACACTGATATGGGCAAAGTGTTGGAGAGTTCTTTGTGGAGGTATGTTTGTTGCTTATATTTTTAGTTTTCCTAGAAATCAATGAGAAACTATTTCATGCTTGAATGTATTGGAGTTTTTTTTTATTGTCACTTGAATGGGGCAAAGATACAATGTGGATATGGCTAATGTCTTCTATTTTGGAGGCTTTTGGTGGGGGGTTGTTTTCTTAAATTATGTTGTTTAATGTTTACTTCAAAATTATGGGAAAATATCGGGAAAATCACCACATTGATTTTTAGTAGCTGCCCTCAGCAGTATAATAGTAGAAGCTCCGGGAGCTGCAAGAAAGGGGATCTGGAACTTGCAGATTGCTCCCACTAGGTCAGGGGTAGGCAATCTCGGTTCTTTTATGACTCATGGACTTCAACTCCCAGAATTCCTGAGTTAGCTATGCTGATTCAGGAATTCTGGGAGTTGAAGTCCATGAGTTATAAAAGAGCCGAGGTTGCCTACCCCTACACTAGGTCATACAATTAATCTACTATATGAGTAGCCCGATTCACATTAGCTCCAGTGTCAATTTATTTTAGTTCAAATGAATATTGAGGAAATGATTAAAATGAAAAGTCATTTTAATGCTGTTAAACAGTAGAGATTACACAAGCATTCTAAATCTACAATCTCTGGACCAAATCCCACTGCTCTTAATCCAGATTACTGTCAAATTAGTATGAGCATAAAGATTTCAGCTAAAAATCCCCCAGTTTTCACAATGAAAATACACAGGAAATTAGAAATTAGGGGGGAGGCAAACCTACAAGGTCAGGATGGTGTTCTCCCATGTTATCGTATTGTAATGAATAAAAAGAGCTTTGCCCACATGCTGAGTTTCTAATTTTAATTGTGACATCATTGAGTACGGAATTAGAATAGGATTTGCTTCTGCTGCCTTGTGCTAAAAATGTTTACCAAGGGATAAGTGCTAGGATACTAGGTTTTTGAAAGAAAGGTGTGAAGAAATAAGAGCATGATTATTTGTAAGACTGGCAGGTTAAATCTGTTTCATTTTTACTACATTCTATCATCCTTCCACCAAGTTAATGGTATAAAACTAACCCCAGGACAATAGCATTGGGTGGAATTGTCTACCTCTGCAAACCTCCTCATAGAAATAGAAATCCATGACTAGATGATTGCTTAAATCAGGAAATTCAACATTAAAACATGCATGAAAGTGGGCTGCATAATTAGTTTCCCAGTCAGCAATACCAATACTTGAGAAACAATACTGAATTAGATCTCACTAAGAAATAACATCTTTTAGCTCAGTGGCCTTGTTACTAACATCAGTGGAAAATAGGACTGGAAAGCTAGATGCGCAGCAAAGTAAAAGTCTGGCAAGGACTCTGTGGTTATTTACCTCTAAGTACTTGTAGCATATGTGCCATCATTTATGCCTAAACTTGTATGTGATTGTGTGCTAATGAAGAAGAGGATGAAAGAACACAAAGTCCAACATGCAACTTGCCAGCATTCCCCCCAAGAGCTCCCCAAATGTGTGGAGGCAAATTTTGGTCTTTTTTTTGGAGATTTTGAAGGATGCTCAGTGCTATCCTGCTACTGCATTTTTGACCAGCAGAAGCTTCCAAGTGGTCTTCAAGGGAGCCTCCTATAGAGTGCATTACAGTAATTCATTTGTGAGGTGATTAAGGCATGTTTGTAAATGAGCTCCTAGTCCAGGAAAGGGAGCAATTGGTGCACTAGATGTACTTGCACAAAAACCATCTTGGCTACAACTGCCACCTGATTTTTGAATGGGAGTTGTGAGTCCACTATCACCACCAGGTTGCACACCAATTTTGAATGGTGCAATCCTATTGAAATCCAATCCTATCCATGAACAAAGATGGAAGATCCCCAGTCTTGTCAGGATTGAGCTTGAATCTCTTCTTCTTCATCCAAATCCCGACACCGTTAGATAACAGATCAGTACATTGAGAGTTTCACCTGCACTGCCTAGGGATGAAATGTATCATCATATTCTGGGTTCTCAACTTACTAATGACTTCACCCAAAGGTTTCATGTAGATATTAAACAAGGTGTGTGTGTGTGGGAGTGAATCTATCCCTTAGTTAATTCACAAGTAAAGAATTCTAAACTTGATCTCTCCCATCCTATCAATACCAACAGGGACCAACTGCTGAGACAATTGATGAGATATATCTCATTGAGTAGAAAACAGCTTTTAAATGTAAATATTCAGTTAAACTGGTAATGCACAGTCTTTTTTTCCAGCAACATATGCATTTGCGTAGGTGGTAGGCTAAATGCAAGTGCTGTTGTATATAAAATTAAAAGAAGTACTGTGATAATTCCAACATAAGATATCTTCTTAATGAACTGTATATTATAAGGAAAACCGTCAAACAGAAATTGAGCAAATCAGTTTTAATGGGAAACCGTGAGAGATAGAGGGGTGGGGAGAGCTAGTATGATGGGCTACAATGAAGCAGCAGTTTCCCAGGAAGATGGAGCACAATGCAGAAAGAATCAGGGGAGACAAGAGGCAGCACAGCTGGGAGCTGGAGAGGAGACAGAAGAAGAGAGTTAGAATAGCCACTCCGTAGAATTTTCTAGGGTATGTCTATTGGGCTGAGAATATTAAGGATTCTGTCTATTGTGTATAAGCAAATAAACTGAATTCTGACTGGACAATTCTACAACATTCTTGGGCTAAGAATGTCAGTAACTAAAATAACAACACAAGATCTAGTTCTAGTTTTGCAAGTGGTGGGATTCAGCTGGTTTGCACCACTTCGGCAGAACCGGTAGCTAATTTTTTGTTGCCCAGGCCAAGAATGGACTTCCAGAAGTGGCATCCACACAGAGAACCGGTTGTTCACATATTTGAATCCCACCACTGAGTTTCGCCCAAAATCTAAAGTTAACTTGGTGACCTTGGGCTAGTCACTTTCAGCACTAGGAAGGCAAACAACTTCTGAAAAACATTGCCAAGAAAACTGCAGAGACTAATCCAAACCGTTACCAGGAGTCAAGATTAACTTGAAAGTGCCATAAATAAATAAATATCCAAAATATGGAACGCATTACTTTTATATCTTATTTGCTCAAATTTCTGCATAGCTGAAAGAATTTGGTCTAGAAAGTCAAAAAGCTGAGAAAAATCAAACAAAAAAGTTTTATTTTTTTCATTTTTCATGCATTTTTAAATTAGTTTGTTTTAGAATTATGAATAAATTTTTCAGACAAGGTATTCTTATATTGGAAGTCTTTATTCAACCTAAACTTTGTTCCTAAAAACAAGGCAGAATGTTTCTAGATGCAATATAGAAAGGTTAATACAAATATTTGAGCTGAGGACAAAAACAATTTTTGCCATATTTTTCTGGCACAAGAGAAGGAGGAGGATCCAATGCATTCTTTACTTATAGGTGCTCTTATTTACTTTTGTCCATATTAATAAATATTGCTGTGCTCTTGTTGGCCTGACTAGAGCTCAGAAGACTAGAAAAATAATAGAATGGATAATAGCCCATTTATTCCTGTAGGCATTCAGTTAGAAACTGATTGTCCTAGTTGTACATGAGGATTCAACAGATCTACAGATTTTGCAGAATTACAAATAACACTGAAGTTGAAAGCAAGCATAATACTTACTGAAATATGAAAGTCTAAATTCCACTTTTAAACTCAACTTTGCTGAAGTTACTAAAATAATATATTATATATTGTGTTCAGTTGTATATTGCAGCCGAATTCATAGTAATTTGTTATTTTGTGCAAAATTATCCCTTTATTCATAGTTCTGAATTTTACAATCCAAACACAGTAATTTTATGAGAAAACCAAGTTATAGTTCACACCACTGATGGAGACAGATGGAGGTTTCCTCATGTCCTGCTCAATTTGTCCTGCCCCTCCCCCCCCCAAGATAAAGCCAACACGCTTTCCTAGGGTTTTGGAAAGTTTGAAAACCTGGCTTGGTCTCAGGTGTGGGGCTAATGTTTGTTATTTGTTTAATGATCCCTGTTTTGTTTTGTGGATTTTGTCATTAGAACATTTTAGTCTGGGCTGCTTATTTATTTAATTTTTATTTATTTGTTGTTAATTGCGAAGTCGTGTCCGACCCATCGCGACCCCATGGACAACATTCCTCCAGGTCTCTCTCTCTCTCTCTCTCTCTCTCTCTCTCTCTCTCTCTCTCTCTCTCTCTGTATATATATATCTCCCATCTTTATTATTTTCATAAATAACTCAAGGTGGCATACATATCCAACACACTTTCTTCCTCCTATTTTCCCCCCTGCAGCCCAGTGAAGTGAGTTGGGCTGAGAGAGAGAGCGACTGACCTAAGGTCACTCAGATGGCTTTCATGCCTAAGGCAGGAATAGAACTCACGGTCTCTGGCTATCTAGCCTGGTGTTTTAACCATGCTAATCCCAAGAATGACGTAAAATCGTCCACCTAGAATTCAGTTTTTATTTGCTTGTTGTTGATTTAATATTTTTTAGCTGTTTTTATGTCTTGTTTAGTTTTGTGTGCTTCCCAGAGTACATTGGAATTGGGTGGTGTTGGTAATAAATGCTTTTATTAATTACAATTTCTGGGGATTATATCGTTATTTCCATATAGTTTTCTTGCCAAAGAATTTGGAAGAATTTTGCCATTGCCTTCTTCCTGAATGTCTGTTTGACTTCCCATTCTAATCCACAGCACTGAAATTTTGTGGTGATCTCCAAGTACTAACTAGATCCAACCCTACAAACTTTCATAAAACTTTATATTTGTAGCTTGTTTGTCAACCCTGATATCCAGTTATCCCAAAGATGCTTTTTCACGAGGCAACTGGACTTTCTTGTTTTTCTTTGACAACGTTTTGCTTCTCATCCAAGAAGCTTCTTCAACTCTGACTGGATGGTGGGGAATGGAAGGACTTATACTGCCTATAGACAGCTGGCCATTTGCATTCTTTTAGAGAATTGTTGATGCCACCTGGAGGTTTAACTGTGTCGTCAGGGTCACCTGAGTAATGCAAAT